AGTCGTAAATTAGTATGTAGGCAAAATATAGAGTTTGGTGTCAATTACACAACTCATGATGTAATTGTATAATAGCTCAAATTCAGATACTCTATACATTATTCATGTGAAAAGTGAAGTGTGCATAGCTGAGTTAGTAAAGAAATCACCATTAGATGTAGAAAAAACAAAACATTCAATCTTTGGAGAATCTGAAGTGTAAACATTAGTTGATAACATATTGGCAATCCATGAATCTTGTTGAACCGTCGTAAAATAGCAGCGACATGCATACTTTTGTGCAAATACACAACTGGTGTCTAATCGTACGTCTTGTCGGCCTTTTTTATGTATATAACTTTATAATTGTTGTTTTATTTTGAATTTAGTATGTTTGTCGCATAAACTCTTCAGTATTAACCAGGTTTATGTGTTTTTTATTAACTTGTGCTTGTTTTAGGTCTTGTAAAAGTTATTTATCACTATACTCGGTAAGAGTCAATGGATGATCGTGTTTTTTCTTCGCAATCAAGCCCGAAGGTGAGCACAATATGATTTAACATGTTTGAACGATGTGATTAGTCTTACATAAAGTTATGTAATCTTACTAATAATTGAATAAGGGTTGTAATATTTAATAGCTTCTTGTATATCACTCTTGTATATCACTAGTAAGTTCAATGGTGAATAGGTAGTGTTTAGCACCAACTTGAATCAAGTATGTTTTTCACAATTTGGTTATAATCTAGACAATTTTAAGGTGCCAGGTTTCAATTGTACCAATGTGGATCAAACTAAACGTAGAGATAATCAACAGGAGGCAATTAATAGAGCTGTTATGTCAAAAATGTTGAAAGTGTTGTTTGTGCCTAATCCTACAAAAATGCCAATCCAAAAGATTGTGGATTTTTTCTTGAAGGAGGTGGTCAGGTAGGACTAAGTTCCAATATGAGTAAAGTTAGAATATTGAATAGCTTATAGGTACGAGAATGAGAAGGATCCAAATGCAATTTCATGGTGTAAAGCAATAGGCTCCATGGGTGAAACCATAAGTTTCAAGGTAGTATCTAATTCAAATGGTACCAGCGTTTATATAATCAAAATAAGTATTAAGGGAGAAATGTCTTCGTGCTTCTGGCAATATTTCCTGGAATCTGGGAGGAAAAAATTGTTTGAATACAACAAAATGAACAAAACCAAAATAAAAGTAGTACGAGGACACACTATAAAAGCAGGTGGATCTGGAGAATTTAAGGTACAGACCTTGACTAATACCTTTGAACTTATAATTGCAGAATATGTAATGTTGAAAAGGATCTAAATGTTTCGTTTAGTCTATATCTGAGGAAGAGAATCAGACAATATTGTGTGGACAACCATCTATCTGTGCCTGAAATCGCAATAAAAAATGCGTTCCTAACGATCCGAAAAAGAAATGGTGAAACCACAGTAAGTCCAATTTATCATAGTGGTTTGTAGCATCTTAGATTGTTGTTGAATTATATAACCTTTCCAGAAAATGCGTTCCACTGAGATGGCAATAAAGTTAGGATGGACATACGAAGACTTGGCATGGAACGCAAATCGATATGCTGATGTCAGATGCCGAAAGGGAAGCCTACCATGTATGTTCAATATCATTAAGTGTTGATATCTACTTAATAAAGGTGAGATAGAATGATTATTCAGGATGGCAGAATAAAGTGGGGAAGTCTCCCTATCGATTCGCTTTTGAATAAGGAGTGCACTTCAATTAAGGATTCAGAACCAAATATGCAGGTATTAGAAAGAGGAACATCTATATTTCCAGATGTTTGAAGTGCTGATTTATAGGATGTACATTCAAATCGGAAGAGAGAGGCTTCTCGATCTGAGGAAACCACTGTCAAGCAACCTAGATGTGAAAATGTTGATGAGCAAGCCACGCCAACGGAGAATGTTGAAGGTGACAACGTTGATGAAATGAATGGGTAGTGATAGACTAATGTTATATGATATGGAAATATAACCGTTTTAAAGAAGTTTTTGTTTGAACTGTTATTTGAGTTACTAATGAAGTTTCCAAGGTCGGAGTCTTAGAGAAAGTGACTGATAGTAATTACATTCAAGAATGATATGCTAAGAAAACAAAGCGATATGTTGAGAAAGCAAATAAATGACAACAAACACGTCAATCGACGCACAACGGACCACCGGTCCCGAAAAAGAGCCACCACCGGTGACATGGAGGCCGTCGCCTCAAAAAGTGTAAGGTAGAAGAGTTTCAATCCCGCCGGACGGAACTGATGCATCCTTGTTCCCGGGTTACCCTCGGAAAACAACGTGCACCAGTCTTGTCCAATAAATGAAGTAAAGTGAAATGTATGATAGCTCAATTTACCAAAGCAAAAACATGGTTCGTTTCGCCTCTACTCAGACGAACCACTCTATTCCGAATTCGCTTGATATTCCGACCGCCGCCAACACTGCGCCGTCTGCTCACTTCGTCTCGACTGTATGAAAATCAGTGTGGCCGCATAAACTGCACATACTGTCAACCGGAGCGGAAAATATGCCTTCTAAAGAACACCGTTTACGAAGTAGAGTGTGCGTCATGCTCAGTTTTACGTTGGAGAAAGTGGACGCCCTCTCTACAAAAGGCTTGACGAACATCTAAGGGCTCTCCGGAATCCAAGCAGCTAT